AGTTATGTATGTTTCACTTAGTTTATAGCATTCATCTAGTAAGGAATCAATACAAGCAAGCATATTTTCTCTATCATATTCATGCATATCTTCTCTAATTTGCTCTAAGCTTACCTTGCGTTCATGTAGTACATCCTTCTTTGCCATAAAGCATTTGTTGAATGTACTGGTTCCCCCTCTGGTTCCTGGACCAGTGCTGTTTTCCTTGATGTTTGTAAAGGCAGTTAGGCAAACATCTGAGTTGGGTGATCCTTCTTCTTCATCTGACCCTGAGTCAGAGTCTCCCCACATGGAAGCTATCATGGCATTCTTGTATGCTTGTTTATCTCCGGATTTAGACTGTTTGTCATTCCACTTAGGACAATCTCGAATAAGATGTCCTTTTTCTCCACACTTGAAACATCCTGTAGAAGAAGAATTAGAGTTAGATTTTTTATAGTTTTTAAAATGCTTACCTTTGAAATTCTTTCTTTGATCTCGAAGAGATCTCTCAAATCTTTTTGCAATCATGCTAATTTCATCTTCATCATCTTCTACTGTTCCCTTAAGCGCCATGCCTCTTGCTGGTTCCTTCTCAGACTTAGAGTCAATCAGCATCTCATGAGTCATAAGGGAACCAATCAGCTGTTCCAGAGACAAGGTAGACAGATCCTTTGCTTCATATACTGCTGTTACCTTGGCTGTCCATGCATCTGTTAAACTACGCAATAATTTTCTCACAAGATCCTCGTCAGATAAATTTTTACCAAGAGATCTAAGATCATTTACAATAGTCATAAACCTACGAAAGCAGTCATTGATTTTTTCATTTTTATTCATGGCAAACAATTCATATTTAGACATGATTAAATCAATTTTAGACCGTTTTACCTCGCTGGTTCCCTCAAACGCAAGTTCAAGGGTGTCCCATATCTCCTTAGCACTACTACAGCCAGAGATACGATTTGTTTCGGTCTCACCTATTGCTTGTTGTAGTATTGACATTGCCTTAGCATTCTTTTCCAGCAACTTGTAATCAGCAATGACCAATTCGCTATCCTTCTTGGGAACCTGGTTCCCCTCAACATCTGTCTTGAGAATGATATTAGGACCATTTTTAACTACGAGCCAGCATTCATAATCAATACCCATGATAACATTCTGGATCCTGTTCTTCCACCAAGCATAATTATTTCCATTAAACTTGGGTGACTTGTTGTCATAACCGATTGCACTTAATTCTTGAGTACTCATTCTTAACTCCTCTAGATGTTACTCTTTCGAGAAGCTTAGGCTCTGATACCAATTGAAGGTTCAATGGGCACTCAAGAGGGGGGGGTGTATGAGTGTTAAGTAATCGTTGGCTAATTTTGCTTCTTTTCGGATTATGTGTGAGGAACCAGTTGTGCTGGTTCCCGTACGCAGCGGAATATAAATAAGCAATAAAGAAGACAACAAATTTAACGAAATAAAACAAAGCAATAAAGAACACAACAAATTTAACGAGGTTCAGCCAACTCAGGCCTACGTCCTCCTATCCTAAGTTCTTTATTAATCTACTCCGAAAAACAAAGACAAAGAACACTCTGCTGTTCCCTACTCCGGGAACCAGCAAACCCCACACTCTACTCCGAGTGTGCTCTCGACTTACACTCGTAAGCCCAATGTGTTTGAACTCACAAACACTCACCCAGCCTTTAACCCCTTTGTTAAAGACTCAATACAAGAATCAAGAACTCCCCTTTGATCTCACTTCTACGAAGCTAATTAAGAGAAAAAGTTTAAGTACTAGAATGCTCTTGTATATGACTTGATGAATGGGATTAGTGCTTAAGTATATGCTCTCAAATAATTGCTCTTTTAATTTCTAGAGAGGCACACGAAATATGTGAAATAAGATGAGTTTATATAAGCTTAGATTCCTAAAACCTAGTTTCCTTAAATCACACAATCTTAGAGAATAAGATATAATGTAATTTTAGGAAAGTTTTTATCTTATTTGATTTAATCACAAAGATAGAATCAATTAAGATAAATACTCCTAGTTTTTAGGTAACCAAGAATATTTCATCTTATTTCCAGCTGCACAAAATATTTTCAAAATAATCTTTTCGAAAAAATCTTTTTGTAAAATCTTTTTCCAAAACGGCAGCTCGAATACAGTGAACCTGGTTCCCCGACCTGGTTCCCTGAATTGAAACATGTTATGAAACCTGTTCCAACTTTGTACCAGATTTCATATCATACTTCAATATACTTTTAAGCACTTATATAACCCAAACATGCAAGCATACTACGGAGCATATTACATGAAAACCTAGATAACATATTAAAGCATAAATCGTCTTTTCTTCATGTAATCTTCAAGACTTGAATCTTCCTTGAATACTTCTATTATGAGCAAACAATCTTTCTTCGAAATATCTTCGAAAAGCTTCTATGCTCCAAGTCTTGGAATCAACTCAACTACTGCACATGTAACATGGTTAATGCACAATAAAGAGTATGTGACTGCTTTACCACGTAGCAACCATGGAAACAGTACATACTGATTCCCTACCAGTACATAACACTTTTATCATATAACTGTTCCCTGTATAAAGACAAGTTAGTTCATTAAGAAAACTCATGTAAGTAATAACTTGTCTGGGGAAACAGTGTTCTATGTTAGCTGGTTCCCCCAACTGTATCGAACACTTTCAAGGACCTGTTTCCCTTAGCTGTTTGTCATCATTCAAAACTATCAATCAAAACCTAAGGGACTCAACATATATATACTTATGTATTTAAATTATGAATCCTATTTTTTGGTTACTTAATTTATTAAATTAGATAGTCATAATTGACAAATATTATTACATACTACATATTGTTTAGTCATATAGTATTGTTGTTTTATTTAACTGTCAGTAGTTTCAGTTGGTTATGTAAGGCTTCTAAAATTTAGTAAAATAAACAAAAACAAAATTATCTATTGCCTTGAGGAACAAGTATATTTTGTATATTTATTCTTTGCAAGCAACTTAGCTCTATCATATTAAAGGGGAATTCCCTGTTCCTTATTGTGAGGAACAGGTTTGGTTCCTCATGGGGTATATGTCAAAATTTGAGAGTTTCACTCATTACACATAGCCGGTCTCCACAAGTGAAAAATATCACATTATTTTCCAAAATGCCATTATGAGGAACAAAAGTGTTCATCATAATGAGGAACTGAGGCTCCCTCATATTAAAGTTTGTTTTTCATTCTTGAAAATGAAGAGGAAATCAAATACATCATCTTCTTATTCATTTGTTCCCAAAATTTGGATTTCTAATCCAGAAGAAAGTAAATTGCAGAAGGTGCTTAGCTTCATTAGTTATATAGCTAAGGTTTCACATGAAATGGTTTTATATTTACAATTGCTAAAAAATGATGTTGAAGAAGAGACAAAGATGAAGATGGATGGTGAATCTAGTGCTATAAGAAATGAAGCTGCGAAGATGCCTTTTTTTGAAAATGAAGTTATAGTAATTCAATCGGATCCAGAAGATTGTAATCAAGGTTGTATTGGTAGGAATGTTCAATACGATTATGGTAATCTAGTTGAAGTTGTACCAGAATTAATTTTGCCTCCTAAATATGGAAAAAATCAAGATATGTATGAAGGTGATGTTTAATTTGCTAGAGATACTAATGTTGTAGGCTATGTAGTTTGTGCTAGAATCTCTGTAGTTATAGGCCTTATAAATGGTGTATTAGTGATAATTATGGATTTCATTTTGCTTATTGAATCTAGTGATTTAGTTGTCCTTGAGTTCACTCTTTTGCTAAGATGTAACTTCAGTTCTTCTTTGTATAATGAAAGCTTTTATTATATATTTTGATGGTGTTATATGAAAGCAATATCTCGGTATTGGTTTAATACAATTGTTGATCTTTGTTTAGAGTTTTGTTTTTGTATAGTGCTTTTAAAACTTGTTTTGATTGGTACAATGCTTTATACATAAAGGTCATTCAATTTCAGAAATAAAGATGCTTTACAAAGAATAAAGATGCTTTTTATATTTTATAAAGATTGGTTTACTACATATAATTTCATCCAAAATATATATGGAATATGTTTTTCATAAGAACATGTATTATCTATGCTACATGTTCATTGAAAAGCATAAAACATTTAGCCTAGTTTTACATAAACTAATTACATAGGTAGCTTAATCTGATCTATATATAGATAAAGTGTTATGTAGGAACACAAATTCGCACCTGTGTTTCTTCACAACCTTTCAAAAGGCCTACAATCTATTAACATCAATGCTTTCTAGTAGGCTATTTAAAGTTCAAGTCCACAAAATAAGCAAAATGCAGCAACAACATACATTATCCTTAATAGCAGATGACTTGCTAACCTTCGACAACATAAAATATTCGTGGTCCAACCTCTTTTGATTACTTGCTGACCTTCAACAATATAAAATATTCTGCATTCCGAGAAGCAACATTTCAACGAGGTTTACTTGAAGCAGATGACTCTATAGACAAGGGCCTACAAGAAGCTTGTCAAAGTTAGATGTCGTTTGCCTTGCGACGACTATTTGCTACATTGTTAGTATATTGCAATCCTGAAGACCCTAACTGTTTGTGGGAAAAAATATTACCCATATCTTTCTGAAGATTACGACCATAATTTCCCTTCAAATAAAAAAAAAAGGCTCGCAAACTAACAATAAAAAGCATTTGTTACCTTGTTGAATCGATGGGAAAGTCTTTCAACACTTACAATTTTGGCTTATTAGGACTCGAAGAAGACGACTTTGAAATAGGAATGAAAGAAATTGAAGAAGAGCTTCAGATTCCTATACGTCTAGAAGAAATAAATGCATTTGAATTACTTAATAATGAACAGAAACTTGCATACGACACAATCTATAACAAAGTGGTGAATAATAAGCTAGCTGCTTTCTTCGTTGACGGCCTGGTGGTACAGGAAAATCCTTTTTGTATTCTACATTACTTGCTAATGTAAGAGCAAAAGGGAATGATTGCTTTAGCAGTTGCGAATTCTGGCATTGCTTCATCGGGTCTGTCTGGAGGTAGAAATGCAAATTCTCGATTCAAAATCCCTCTTGATGTTGACGAGATTCCAAGTCCCAGTATTTCCAAACAGAGTGCTCTAGGACAACTTATTCGTCTTGCAAGACTTATTATATGGGATGAAGCGCCAATGGAAAAACGTCAAACGATTGAATACTTTGGCAGATTGCTACAAGATGTTTGTTCGAATCAACAAAAATTTGGAGGAAAGGTTGTTGTATTTGGTGGTGATTTCCGGCAAGTATTACCTGTCGTACCGAAAGGAAGTCTGCGTGAAGTTGTTGCAACGAGTTTTGTGATGTCCCCCTTATGGCATGAGCTCCAGAAAATCCACTTAACACAAAACATGAGAGCAATTAACAATCTACCTTTTTGTAACTTTGTGTTACAAATCGGAAATGGCATGCCTCCTTATGAAGATGGGAAAAATATAGAGCTACCTATACCATTAGTCATTCCGTATGACAATGAACATTCATCTCTGCATCTCTTTGTAAATAGTATCTACCCTGATATAGCGAATACGACTTCTGAATCCTTCTTTGCAACAAAGAAAGCTATTTTAACCCCCAAAAATGAACATGTTGCAAAAATAAACTCTCAGTTAGTCCAACAACAGCCAGGAAGAGCTACAGAAGTTTTGACGGTTGCACAGATGACTCGAGCGAACAATACCCAACTAAATTTCTCAATAGCCTTTGTCCATCCGGTCTTCCACCTCATCATTTAACTTTGAAGGTAGGCAGTCCAATAATTTTACTTCGAAATATAGACCTGACATTAGGCTTATGCAATGGAACAGGATTAGTATGTAGAGCATTTTTCCCTAATGTTAATGATGCCGAAATTATTGTTGGACATCATTGTGGCCAACGGGTTTTTATACCTAGAATCCCGTTGCAGCCGTCAGCTACAGATAAGTACCCATTCAGATTTACCCACAAGCAATTTCCAATCAATCTGAGTTTTCCAATGACCATCAACAAGTCTCAAGGTCAAACACTTGATAGAGCTGGCATATATTTATTACAACCAGTTTTTTCTCATGGTCAGTTATATGTTGCATTGTCTCGTGCTAAGAAAAAGTAAACATGTTCAGATATCGATAAAGCCCACTGCGGATGAATCAGATGGATGGAAAAGAACTAAAAATGTTGTATGTTATAAGAATTTAAGGCGCGTTGGAATATTGTAGATCATTTTTTAAAGATATGGTACTAGCACAAAGTTAACAAGCTTATTTTTCCTTTTACTCTACATTATACAATAATATTGTTATTTTACCGCTCACAATGTTTACTGACAACACATTAACGACAGGTCCAAATCATATTGCAGAACAACACAATGACTACTCAACGACTTCCCCTTGCCAGACTGACACACCAGAGCCGAAACTTTACTACAACAGCTACATTAATAAAGAAGCACCCAGCTAAAAAAATCTCGCGGCGCCGTGACAAATTTACAGTAGCTTATTTTTGAAGACGCAGAGGTATATTATATACAATTTATAGAATATTAATTATCTTAACATATTTAACAATTATTTAACATTGAAATATCCAGAAAACACAAATGAAGACTGTGATCTTTGAACGAGATATTGAGCTATTTCATAATCTTCTTGTTCAAGAGAGAGAATACAACATTACCAACCCTATCATAACTCGCACACCTGACATGTTTGTTAGAGAAAACCAATTGTACTAGATGACAATATCAATTCTGCAACAAGAATTTCTGAAACACGACAACAACCTGAACCAAGCTCATACTTTGTCCCCCTTAATTGGGTTATGGATTTTGTTGGCAGATCTGATCGAATGGGTAAATATTACTTATCATTTATTAAAATTTTGTAATTACTGTAGGTGCATCGTAAGTACACATGAATTAATCCACATATAATTAAGTTCTTTGTTTTAATTTTTTCCTAGATATCATTGGGATTGCTCACTAGGCAAAAATTGGTAATCAGCACCGGTTCAAAACCCCCATTTAGCACCGGTTTTGAACCGGTTCTGATTTTAGGGATGCCAAAACCCAAGAGTTTTCGCACCGGTTCTTGCTGTGAACCGGTGCGAAAAATTCCCAAAAAAAAATAAAAAAATACTTTTAGCACCAGTTCTTGCGGTGAACCAGTGCGAAAAATGGCCCAAAAAATTATAAAAAAAACTTTTAGCACCGGTTTTGTTTCAAAACCGGTGCCAAAAATGCCCCAAAAAAATAAAAAAAAATTATTATATTTTTTTTTTTGCATTTTTTTCACTAAAATATATAAACACTAACATATATATAAAGTTACATATTTTCATTAAAAAAAGCCGTAATATTACAATTTTCGTCCAAAAAAAATACAATAAAATAAAATTCTGTATATGAAATTACTCTTTAATTAGTTCATAAATGCCTTCATGGTGATGGATGAGTTGTTGTGGGGTGCTGGGTAGGTTGCTAGCTGCTGTTTGTTTTTCTCTTGTGGTGCTGCTGCTGTACTGTTGTTGCTGCTTTGGTTATGGCTTGCTGGTTGTGTGCTGCTGCTGCCATTGCTTGTTTGTACTGCTGGCTGAATCAACATGCAGAACCACGAAAAAGAATCAGAACAAACACACTATCAATCATACAAAAACTCAAATCACTGGATGAGTTTAAACACTTGAACTGACATACACCCATTCTTCACCTCTACTCAGTTATCATAAACCAGTATATCATACCAGATTTTAACTAACAGTCTGACTGATGAAATCTTTAACAAAGTATTAACCTAATTTGAAACACTAAAGAATAAAATATAAAGTAGTAAACATTATCGTTACCAGGACTGCTTTCTGTAAAACTAATAGCAGTATCAGCAGCAAACTTGTAGCTGTTGTCGCTGTTGTTGTTGCCATTATAATTGTTACACTTTGACGACCTCCTCTGTTGTCGAAGCAATATAATAAGGACTACGATGAAAGAAAGGAGGATAAGTATGAAGATAGGTATGACAATCAGGAGAATGGAAGTCAGGGAAAAACTCTCATGATTACTCGGCTTATCATCATAATTTCCGGGTGGCGAATGGTGAAAGGAGTGTTCACCACCGCGGTAGTTGGATGCAGCACTGTCAGATGATTGTGCAGAACCAAGAATGGAGGAAGTTTCCATGAAAAAAATGGGAAGTATAAAAAACAGAAGATTAGTTAAAAAAAAGAGATTTTATTTTTTGCTGAAAAATATGATGATTATGAACTGATATCTGCTGGAAAATTCTGATGTAACTTTCTGTTTAGTAAGCATAGAAAGCAATGTATGAAATGTAAAGAAGAGGAGAGAGAAAATAACAAATTTGGTAAGAAGAGGAATGAGGGGTGTATGTATAGTTGTAGTGTATTGCCTTAGTTGGAGGTCATCCTACAAGTTTAAGGCACATGAATATCTTAAGACTTCTTAAGGGAATAGGCACAGGGTAATTCAAACTCAAAACAACCTAGTGAGGGATGCAACATTGTAACCAAGGACTGAAGTTAATCATTCAATGTCTAGGTTCGAGGAAAAACAAATAGGGAAAGACCAAATAAATTGAACCAATAATTCGAAGCGCATTTTGTCATAGACATCAAACCAATTGAACCAATTTAACAAATACCAGAATAAGATTTGACTGTTAGATACTTAGATGACCTCTTTCCTACCGAGTTACGAGTAAAACTGATTGAGTAATGAAAGCTTTGCCTGTCTGACTTGGCAATACACCACAGCCTTGGGAATTGAGTTCTTCAGTGTTTCTGACACCATATTGACATAAGAGGCCACATTCGAGCTGATCTTTAGGTAGTAAGCTTCTGTATATGGAACCACATTTGTTGCAGAAAGCTTCCGAAAGAAATCAGGAGTGATGTATGAGGATTCCATCTCTACTAACCGCAAAGTTGTCTTTTTGCTCTCTTCACGAAACCTCATTAGTGCTGAATTTGCTGCTGATGCTATCTCATATTGAAGAGTAGGGAAGCACTTTAATTCCTGAGTTGCAAAAGCATAGATAAAAACTCCTTTCATATATGTACTGTTTGTATATTTCTACCAAGGAAGATTTATCAACTTAAAAAAAAAAAAAAAAAAAAAGGAGGGGAGGGGTTTGTAAAGTGTACAAGGGTGTGCATATAAAGGGTTTAATCTCTCAGAGGTTAAGTCTGAGCCTCTAGGTCTGCAAAGCTTTTATAGTAATAGCGATACGTAGCAAGTTGTTGGCAACCAATAACAAGACAGAAATTTTAACTTTCCTTCCTGCCCCCTCAAAAAATAAATTAAAAAAAAAACTTTTTCCTCTCTTGATTCTTTAGAGAGACTAGGTAACCATGAGCTTATAAAGCATTTTGCAGCTCAACTAAATATCTATTTAAGGCCCACCATCCAAAATTATTTCTATTGTAAATACACTAAATAACTACATCTCAGCAAGTGACAATATAAAGACTTGGCAATGTACTCATGTCATAGTCTTCCCAAGACTTCATAAAATGTATATCATTAGAAATATGAAACAATTGTCTAAGTAGAATTTTAATCTCCTTTCTCAGAATGGTATACAGTTTCACACACATGTTAAGGCAGAAAGTGTAAACTAGAAATCAGACCACAAAACTACAGGGAATAAGTAAACTGCATTCAAAGCCTTACATAACAAATTAAAAGCATATCATATAGGGTAGCAATAAATCAATCCCGGCATCTCTCATTCATCATGCTAACTGCTATCTAACATAACTATGGTGATACAAGTAAAAAGTGAGATATATGATGATCCAGTTGAGGCTTAAGACTTACCTGTAGTGAAAACCATTCAAATACCAAATTTTTGCCCTAAGGAAATATGCCATGGGAAAACTGGAGCACTGCAAATATAAACACCACACAGCTAGTAAAACTGGCAACAACAAATCAGAAGAAATAAAATAAATGAAAATGAAAATTAAAGTAACATACATGGTCCAGTAAAGAAGACATGGTAATAGCATTTTGTGTCCCAGAGCTGAAGAAAGAAAACAAACCATGTTAGTACAAAAACAAACAAAAATCAACACAGTATCTTAATTCATTCAAATATCATGAGATATACAACCTTTGCTAATTTATCCAAAGAGCCAGTAAGGAAATGTGACTTGTCTGCAGATAGACAAAGTGATGTAATTGCTTTCGTGTGACCATATTTATGGTCCTTTGTAGACATCATCTCTTGGCCTGTCTGCAATTTGAAGCACTAAAAATCAAACCACCAAACATGGCATAAGCAGCAAAAAGAACTCAAGCATACGTAAATCATATAACATAATTTTAAGGCGCACTGTTCTTTCATGAAGTTCCAAGACTCAAGGCTATGTGGATACAAGTATATAACAAACAGAAATGATACAACTGGTAATGCTTCTTATCACAGGATCCCAGACACAGATGATAGCATCTTTGCCACAACTGATTATAGTGCTGATTAAAGGCCCCTAAAAAGCTCTATTGATTCTTCCATTTAGACCCTTGATGACAAGAACTGGCCTATCACTCTCTGCAAATCAACGTAAACAATGATGTCATCTTTGGGAGCAGATTTCAAGGATAATAAAGTGAGAAGGGATAAATGTTAATGGATATACACACAAATTCATAGACAAGTAATGTTAGCGTAAATGCCTTAAAGCCAAATGCCTACATGTTGCTTATAAGTTTCATCAAACCACAACCCAAAAATAAGTGTCCTGAATAACTTTACAAACAGACTGATAAACTACCTACCCAGCGCTAACTTTTGGTTTCTTGTAAAGATTGAACATCCACATGAAGGTAACAAGCACTGACCCAACAACAAATTGAATCAATGTGACTGTCACGGGATAATGAAATGCCTTCAGAACCTGCAGGAAAGAACATCATACATCACTAAAGCAAAAGCTGATGCAAGCAGAGAATCACTGCTTTGTATCTATGTTTACCTATGTGCCTCAGATCAATACAATTTTCCATGAAACATGTAATAAGAACTTTTTTATATACATGCAACAAGTCTGCAAAACAGAGTGATGCATCCTTGTACAGTTGTACCAGTACATCTCAAAGAAACAAAAACAAAATAACAACAATCACACATTAACACACACAGTACACAAGAAATCTTCAATAATCAACAAATATCAAACAAAATTAAACTAAAAATTAGGGTTAGCGGCGGAAAATACAATGCAGAAGGAGGCAAAATCAGTGTTTTCAAGATCTTCCAGGAAATTGTTGGTGCTTCTCAGTTGCAACTCTGAAAATCCAGTACACCTGAAACAGAAATATCAACAAAAGTAAGAGAGAGAAAATTGAAACGAAGAAGATGAAGAAGAAGAGTGCGATAGGTGGTACCAAAGGTATGACATGAGCAGCGATGAGAAGGACGATAAAATTGCAGATATTGAATGAAAATTGTTTCTGAAAACCCTAGCCATCGATGGAAACGCTTGCGGCGCAGTGGCAGAGAAGGAGATCTAAGAAAAAGGGGGGAATTGACGATAAACCCTAGAAAAAGAAGGTCGTGCCGCCGTGACAAGGAGGCCGTTGTGGTGGAGGTGGAGCCGTGCGTGCTTCAATGACAAACCCTAGATTACCACAACCCTAAAATTACTAAATTGAAAAGCAAATCAACGACAAACCCTAGATTGCGAAGGAATTCGATAGATTAAGAAGACCACAGAAAAAATCTTACCTCGAAGCTGCTTCAATGGAGGTGAGAAAGATCAGAATCCGCTTCAATGGAGAATAAAGAGCACGAGTTCAACGGAGGAGAGATATGGAGAGAGAAGGAGGTGTGGCTGCTTCAATGGAGAAGGTGAAAATTCGGAGGTGGTGGAAAAGAAGGCGAAAATGAGGGAAAAAAGAAGATGGAAAAGCAGGGGGGAAAGAAAGAAAGAAGAAGATATACGTACACAGCCCGGTTTTTTTTATTAATTACGCACTGGTTTGAACCGGTGCTATAACACTATTTCGCACCGGTTTGGTCTGAACCGGTGCGAAATCCCTTTCTCCCTTTTTTCTCTTTTTTAATTCGCACCGGTTTAATAGGAACCGGTGCGAAAAGTCTTTTTCCCAATCCCGCCCATTTCTTTTACCACTGGTTTTCAAGAACCGATGCGAAAAGTGCGGTGCCTATTTCATTTTTCTACTAGTGGCTATTCACATACACGATATAGCAACCATTTGCTCTAAGAGTTCAGGACTGCCTAATGAAGTACGTAGGATTGTGATAATAGATTCCAAGTACGTGTATATATTACAATAATATAAATTGGTTTTCCAATACAGAAGTACTTTAACTTAATTATAACTATTCTTATTGAACATTTAATTTCTTTTGTTTTTGGTAGCATGGAGCCTGTTAAGTTATTAGTGTGGAACAGTTTGGTTACACAAGAAGTTGTTGTTGTTACTGAAATTATAGACACGATGCCTGTTATAGAAGTTTCCCGCGTCAAAGCATCAACTTTCGACGGTATATGATATGAACAAATATTTATAAAATAATGAGTATGCTTTCATCAACTACCTATGGCACACATGTTTACAGATGGTTCATTCAACACAACCTTTTCTTCTACACTAAAAATTAACCCAAGTAATCCAGAAGCACAACTTCTCCGAGATTGGTAAACAAAACTTCTCAAACTGATTCTGTTTGTGTATTAGCTATTACTTACCTAACATTGTTGCTTTATAGGGCGGTGAATTATAAGGACCAAATTCTAATCCTTCAAAATTCATTCGCAACTGAAATAGCAGAAAGTTCTCAGCAACCTGAATTAATGATTTTAATTTCACAAATTATTCGCAACTGAGGTAAATTACATAGTATGTTCCGCTATACAAATTAAAGTGAACAACATACTGTGTTGTATCACTATATCATGCAATTGTTTTTGTACAAGTCTGGAAAAACGGTACGGATCGTCGGACGTGTTATTGACATTACAAACAAAAACAGTATAGTATACAATGTCTGAAACAAACGATGTGAAATTAAAAGAGGATCGGTGTTTAACTGTCGTGCTTTTAGCTCCCCCCACGTAGGGACGTTCGAAACACGATAATTGATATACCACTACTATTAACATAGCATACAATTACTGTTTTTCTTTATCCTGTTAAATATCTAAGTATGCGTAATCATACACATTGTAAAACTGTGGTGCATATCACTTTTGCTGACGATAGTGGTGACACACCGATCACACTTTTTGGTCATCTTGCTGAACAACTGATAAATGATGACGCTAATCATATGGCTACGCTCACATTACAAGTATGTATGCTTTAACTTATTACTATTACTTAACAATTACAACTTATATTAAACTCAAAACTACAAATTGTTTACAATAATCATTATATGGGTAAAAAAATTCATTTTATACACAATTGCAGGAACCACGGTATCTTGTAGACAGTTGCATTGCAACTTTGAAAGAAAAAGAGTTGACCATAGAGATGACCACATACATGTTGAGAGAAGGATTTCAACAGCTCCGTTGGAAAGCTAAACACATTAGTGGAGCTTAGATGTATAATGATTTTCAGACATGTTTATGAACGTATGTATGTGTATAATTTCATGCTTTTATTACGAACTTTATTTCCCTAGACAATTACAACTTTATGTATATTAAATAATGTTTGTTTGTATAAATATGTACTTATACATGTAGATTTACATAAAATAAACTTTTATCTTAAGTATTTATCATATTTTAATGCTTAACTCTATTGCATAGTAAATCTTGTACAATTTATTGGGATACCAACTACATAGGATTAATATGATATATTCTAAGCACATAGGATTGAAATAATAAATTAAAAATGAATACATAAATACACACACACACGTGTAAATTGTACAATTTACACTATAGTACACTTGTACAATATACATAAAACATAATACATGTCTGACATGTGTATTATAAAACATTTTGGGTTTTAACACGCATATTTGAAAACTCAATACGTAATAAAAAAGATCACTACAAGGTCTTTAAAGTATGCCTATAAATAGAAATAGAAACTAAGATTTGCTCTCAAAACAATAACTACTGTAGATTAACTTCATACGTAATAAGTTCTTTTCCTCACATTAAAATACTAAATCCTTAACCAGCATATAAATGGATGAGCCACGGAGAGTTTTGGAAACAAATATCAAAATAATTCTACATGATATACTACTTCAGCTAGGATTACCTCGAACAGAATTCGGTATATATGCTTTCACCGATGATGATATAAAAGCTTTTATAGATGTAAATGGTGTTCCTAATGTCCCATGTCCTGTACGATTTATTGGAACACTAGCCACCCGAATTAGTCCGTCACAGCAAAACGCTGCTAGACAAGCACTCAAATTTCTTCGGCAAACTTACAATATAGATGTTGACGACTATAATGATTATCAATTGAAATTAGAAGAACACAATCACAAACAACTTTTACAACAAATGTCAACAAATTTTACTAAACTCAAGCTTTAAATTATATTTATACATATATTTGTCTTTAATAACGAATGTGTATATATATAAGCTCTAGAGTTTATTTTATGTATAATATATTTATGTATGGACCTTTATAATATATATGCAATTAGGTTCATGTATGTATATGTATCTCTATACAGGTTTTACAACATTTAAGTATTTGTACTGCAATAAGCTTTACTTATGTAATAGAATAGTTGTACTATAAAAATATAATAATATATTCAGTTTGTACATCTATACTCTTTTTCTCCCAACTCTTTCCTATTTTGTAAATATTTGTATAATACTTCCTCCGGTTTTGGTTATTTGCAACAATGGTACCGTTTACGGATACCAATGCAAAAGTTTTTAAGCATCATTAATAAAATATAAGGGCATGTACTTAAACACTAATCCAATTAAAAAAAAAACAAAACCACCACCACCGAACCCACCGTAAACCACCACCCAGCCACGCAGCCACCACCACGAACCCAGCCACGCAGCCACCACCACGAACCCAGCCACGCAGCCACCACCACGAACCCAGCCACGCAGCCAAACCCACGAACCAGACCTACGCCACCCCACGAAACCAAACCCACGAACCAGACCCACCCCCACAAAACCAAACCCACGAACCAGACCCACCCCCACGAAACCAAACCCACGAACCAGACCCACCCCACGAAACCAAACCACGAACCAGACGCCACCCCCACGAAACCAAACCCACGAACCAGATCCACCCCCACGAAACCAAACCCACCCACCCACCCACCACCACGAACCAGACCCACGCCACCCCACGAAACCAAACCCACGAACCAGACCCACGCCACCCCACGAAACCAAACCCACGAACCAGAGGAACCCAGCCACCACCACTAAACTAGCCACACCACCCCCACGAAACTCACGCCACCCCTAAAACTAGATCTGAAACCCCTAACACCCCCACGAACCAGAAGATTTGTTGATCTTGATGAGATCGTCGAGGGACATGTTCAATCATTTTCCATTGCCATTGAAAGATGTGATGAAGAAGAAGAAGAAGAAGAAGAAGAAGAAGAAGAAAATGTAGAGGAGAGAGAAAATTGAAGCAGGAAGAAAATTGGGGAAACCAGAGAGAGAAAGTGGGAAGATGAATGATTTTTGGTGAAAATGATTATAATAATCAGATTTATTAGGTAAAAAGTTAAATTAGGTTAGTGATCTAATTAAATGTCTAAGTTGTTTAAGTAAGGGTAATATGGGTATTTTGTTGGCAAAAAGTTACTAAAAAAGGAAATAAAAAAGTTTGTTGCAAATAATAAGAAGCGCCTAATTTTAGTAAATGTTGCAAATAACCAAAATCGGAGGAAGTACTTAAAATTGTCAAACATCAGCTAACAAAAAAACCTAATTAACTATACTTATATATATACTAACCAAGTTGTGCCACAACTAGTTAATCCAAAAACAAAAACAAAAACAAAACGGATTTTTCATGATATACCACTGAGTTTCTTCAAAAATTTTTAATTCACCATATACCATTGAGTTTAACATAAATGTCACAACATGCCATTTTCGTTAACTCAGTTAGTCATTAACGTTAATTGTGCCACGTGGCAGCTTGTAATTGGTTGCCTTTTAAATTATTTAACTTTTAAATAATTATTTAATTAATTATCAAAAAATAAAAATAAAAAAAATAATTGAAAAAAAATTAAAACCACCACCAACTCCCAGCCATCTCCTCGCCCCCAACCAGCACCTAGCCCAGCCCCCCCACCCGTACCCAGCCTTGAACCACCACCGCGCCGGCGCCGCCCCTCACCTAGATGACACCCTACCCTCCTATCTTTCCCCACCCGACACCACCCCATGCCCCCTTTCCCCCATCGGAAGCCTTAAATTGACCCTTACTTTCCCCTGCTTCTCTTTCCCCCCAAAACCACATGTAATCAAACCATTCGAGTAATGCGAAATTGAATTCATTCGATTCTCAACAAATTCTTATTCATAATCACTCGTTTTAGGGATAATTGAGTAGGGACCAAACACTGACGACCAAACCCTTGGTTTTTGATCGAAATTAGGTTTAGAATCTGGGGAATTTTATGGGGTTTCTTTACTTCAATTATTGGCAACAAGTGGAGGAGATTCATGGGAATGGTCAATGGTTCACTAAGTGAATCAACCAAGTATTCAATGGAGGTTGAAAATGGCGAGATAATTGAGGGTCGGGGTGGCCTACGCTAAGGGAGGAGGGTAGGGTGTCGTGGGTGAGGGGAAAGAGATGGTGGTCGGCTCGCCGGCGACAAAGGAGGTGGACGTCGCTGACGGCACAGGGGAGAAGGCGAGATTCCGGCAGCCCGCAGGGAG